ACGTGTTTGAGCTTTTGATTTTGTCATTTGATTAGGGACTTTCCTTTTTGAATTTTCCTCGGAGTTCAGCATTTTTGTGATTTTACTTTTCAATACTGTGTTTTGTTTTTAGTTATAAATGTAAGTTTAGTTGAATAGATGAACTCGAATATAAATTTAATATAGTAACGCTATACTTGTCATTCAGATGCCGTATACAATGAACACAAAGTGAAAATTCAGCTAGTCCATTTTCGATGTCATATTCGAGTATTACTATTGTAGAATAAAGGATGATGGGAAAAACTGTGTTTGTTTATGTTTTAAAAATACACAAAAAAAACTGATTTGAATGTATTTTTTATCACAATTTTATTAGATTATGACTTTTCATTGTCCACTAACAGGATTAAAGTCCAAAAATGTGTTCTCAGTGAGAAATCTAGTGAACGAAAACAAAAGAAAATTCACTCTTCTTATGATAGAGTCGAGAAAGTCAATAATAAAACAATGCCGGTGACGATACTGATCAAAAGTTATTTCTAAATAATTGTACTTCGTAAAGAAATTATTTGTTAAACTGTGTTATTCGAAATTTACATGCAAATACACGATGTTTTATGTTAAGTATTTATCGAGATAATTGCATTAGAAGCTTGTGAAATTGATATTTTAAAAAATGTCAATCTCAGTTGCATATTGATAAAACAAAGATTGGAAAAAATCATGTACATACCAAATCTAAAGATCTTTCGGGTCACCAATTTTCGGAGTGTTCCACAAAGTCCTTAGCATGTTACAATTTCCCAAAGTATACTTATTTTTTCACACCTAAGTTATCAAGCACGCCGGTCTGCTCTTGTCACATGTACATTCAATAGAGAAATATTGTCTTTTCGTGAATATAAAAATTTATAAGTCTGTCTGTGCAGGTTAAGAAATAAAAGATAACTATTTTATAAAGTAGATGTCTTCCTGCTATTTTTATACAATTTTAAGAAAAGGTCGTTTCGATTTTTCTACATGTATTTGCGGTCTTCTCGATCTACTCACATTCAATATTTACATCGAGATAAGGTCCGTTTGAAATTGCATAGTAACTTAATTTCAAAAGTGCCAATCTTTGCTGCATATCTATCGATTCCTTTGGAATTTTTTCCCCGACTTTCTATTTTTACTATTTACCAGAACGTTTTCCCGTGAATCCATCATTGATAGTGTCCTTGCTAAAATGGGACAAACATTGAGAAGATCTAGTTTTCAGTGTTTGCAGGGAAGGTAATATTTTGTCACTACATTTTACCACTGTTATTAAAGCAACAGAATTAAGAATATCGATTATTGAAAGCGATTCATTTTAAATATAAAAAAAGTATAACAACAATACCGTATTCCAAGGCAAATAAAGAAAGGGAAGTCCATGAAAACTGATAAAATGAAACGCTATTACATGTTAATCAACAGAACAAGTGAAAAACATCTGCTATATTCCTAACTTTTGGATGCGCGATGAATGTCCGTTGTGGTTTTATGTGATAATTGGACATTCAAAAAGTGACTTAAATATTGATGATATTTACAATTTAAAAATTCGAACTTATAGTACACGCTTACTTGAATATATACGGAGTATAACCGCAGTACAGTTGATTCCAAACTTTGTGCGTTGATAAGCGATAAACAACAAGCTGAGAGAAGCAAATGTATGACATTTTCAATATGCTGAGTTATATACACAATTTGTATACAAAGACGTATTGTACACGTTGTATGCTTGTTAAGTCATCAATATAAATGAAATAATTCCAATTCTAACTCTAACTTTACTTACTGAATGATAAACGCACGTATGTTTACAAACAGTGCTCACAAAAACTCTCTTAAAATGCTATAAAAATGCAGACATTAAAAGAGAGGCGAAAGATACCAAAGGGACATTCAAACTCATAAGTAGAAAATAAACACTGACAACGCCATGGCTAAAAAGAAAAAGACAAACAGACAAACAGTACACAAAACACAACAAAGAAAATAAAAGAACCGAGTCCCAATGTCCCCCGCGTTGCACATATATTATTTGTCCAAGGTCAATAACTAAACACAAATTTTGTTTTGTTTTTTAAAACGTTTTAAAATTATCTTAGAGAGTTGAAGACTTGAGAGCAATTTCTGATATACTTAATATTTCCAAGAGGCATAACCCATTAACAATATTTGATCAGCAATTGATTTAGAACTTGTCCATGACATTGCTGATATTAACCTTTGATATGAATTTGATAAAATCTGGCAGGAATTGTACATGTGAGAGCTCTTACAATGCAAATTCCCATTTAATTAATATTTCTAAGGGGCATAACTCTTAAAAATAATTGATCGGCACTGATTTGCAAACTTGTCCGAGACATTGCTGATATACAAGACCTGACGGACGGACGCCCGTTTTCTTCTATGTCCCCTGCAACGCGTTGTGCGTGGGACAAGTAAGGACCTAGCAAAACGAACCTCACCAAAAACTTGGGATTTTCTTAAATAACTTTAAATATTAACTGATATTTGTGTGGAAATTGAGCATCTTCCTCCAGAAAATATCCCGTATACCTAGTCCATTGTAATCATTGAGATTTTACTGTATCGTTCGTTACGCGTTTCGTTTTCGTAATAGATCTGTAACCTTCGTTGGTGAAAAAATTGACAAGAACATATGATGTCTCTTAACTATTTGATATTTCTAACATTTCATATTGAAAATTAAGAAACCTAATTTTGTTATATGTTTAACATGAATTAGAACCAAGTGGAACAAATAATCTAGTTTTTGAGAGATTTTGTGAAAATATCTCTAATAATCTAGTATTTTGATCTTAAGCTCAAGGTCGTACGATGCTCATGGTGGTATGCCACACATAGTCTTGAGGGGACACACGTTCATATCATGCATATTTAAACACTTTCTGTGAATTTGCTATTAGTAGATTCAAAAATATTCTTGATTAGAACATATTTTAATAACGAATTTTCGAAATAAATCCCTGGCTTTCAAATATAATGAAGGTAAATCCAGAAAAGCATTTCGGACGCTTGAAATTTATAGAATGTTGTTTTCAATTTTTTCCTTAAAAGGTTTTAGTTTTAGTACTTGTTTAGTAAGCTTTGAAAAGATGTCATGCAGTAGTTGCATACATATTTCTAGCATATTGATCGGCTCTTAGTCAAAACGCACAACGAAAAGTAAAATAATAAGCAATGAACGGTACTAAACAAACAAACTATAAAGACAACGAACCATGACGAGATACGGAGTGTAATCTTTCAACATCTATAGATGATATATAACAACGGGTTACTCATTAGTTGTAAGAATTATTTGTAAACATCGCAAAATAAAGACTGTGTAACACAAACTTGATTAAACTATAAACAACAGCATGGTATGTTGACTCGAAAGCTAAATGTGGCCGTGTTTTTTGTGTTTAAATTCATAGTCGGTATTCATGTATTCATGTTTTCATGTAATATAAGTAATATACCATGCTGTCAGAAGGCAGTAAATTTTGTTTTCATAAACATTGAATACTTACTGTTACGGCCATAAGTCTTCGAAGAAAAATATTTGGACCTTATATCTACCAACTTCGCTTCGATACGCAGCAACGTCCGTAATCATCTCTACGGCGGTTATATTCATGACAAAGAACCATTCAAACTTATAACCATAAACTGTTCTCAACATGTCATTGTAATTCAAATTACGTATGAGCTTATTTGTAACAACAATCAATATTCAAGACATTCAAACATAAATCAAGCAGACTCAATTGTTGCTTGAACGTTCATTGATATGTAAGATGCATGCACTGTTAACGATTCATGTGCCATATGAATTATCTAGTCAATCAAGCATGATATGTAGGTCAAGTTGTGTGTGCGAGCTTTCTATGTCCAAGATATACGCATTGATGAAGTTGCATCGATACGTGATGCAAAGCACCTTAGATATATCACCCAAGCGTAAAATATAGGTCGATGTGTGAACATTCTTGAATATCCAAGATGTCTCCATTAATGATGGTTCATTAGTAAGTGATGTATATTACCCTAGATATAGACAAAAACCGAAAACTTAGGCAGCGTTTGCGCTTGCCGTTGATGAGCTTATCTATACTTGGTATTTATTCAATGATGAAATGTCACTGGAATGGATGAATTTTACCATATATAGATCCATACAAATTATTAAAAAGATAAAATTATATATTCTTAGCAATAAATGCTTTTTTTATGGAATTCATTTATTTATATAATTCTTCAGACGTTCTTCTGACTTTATTTAGTTTGTGAGCGAATCGGGTGAATTAAGACTCTATTTGATGAGAATGAATAAGATTCTAACTGTGAGCATGCACCGCATATACAATAGAAATGAATCCCCCATACAGTCAAAATGAAAGTTTTGTATCATTTTCGACTGTAAACATGAGTTGCATAACGAAAGCATGATAGTGGAATTTAACTCAATATCAACAAAATTAATGACAAAACCGGTTTTAAGTTATATGATATTAATGATTATGTTAAAAGGTATATTGTTCTGTAAATAAAACTTAACTGCTGCTTTTAAATTTCTATCACGCTCTGTTCGATATCTATTCTCAATATTTATCTATTTGTGTATCGATTTCACACCTGGACGGCTGTAGGCGTGATATAATCCCGTCTGCATCTCTCACGTATATTATGCATTTTTCAAACACGTATATTATGCATTTATCAAAACAATAAATTTGAAAAATGATTTCTTTTTTTATTCATAAATCATCATTTTTTTGTCTGTTTATTTATCAATCTACAGCAGAAATACATGACAGATACAGTGAAAATGGTATTTTATTATTCACACTATATATACACTGATATATAGAAAACGTAGGCGTAGATGAAATCAATGATTGCGCATTTCTATACTAGTTTACGGTATCTAAATATTTGCAAACGACTGCACTTTAAAACAAAAATGTAACCTGTGTATTAAATTACGGCGTCATATCATATCAACACCACTAGAGCTAGTTTTTTTAATTACTAGTATTTATGAAAGGCTTAATCATCAGGTAAGCTATGCACTTCTTCTTAACTTTATTCGATTTTGATCATTAACATTAGTTTGATTAATCCTAGATTTAATGGCATAACAAGATGCAATGGAAAAGAGAAAAGAAAGCTTAATCATCAATTCTGGTAGCTCAAGGTCAACTGTGGTGTAGGAATTTTACTTTACTTTTTCAGACCATGAACTCGATCTTTAGACATCTGTGCACTTGCAAGGTCGCCAAGGATTAATAAATAAGCAGTAAGGTTCGAATCAGTTTGGGAAATTAAAAAGTAACACAGTTTACGTTTAAGACTTTACTTACAGTTACCTGCTGCTTGTTTGCCTAGTTGATTCAATCTATAAGAATAGTTTCAGAAATTCAGAACATGTCTTAAAACTATTATTCAATAAGAGTTATTCTCATTTCGGGCAGAAACATTGTAACATGCAGTATTAAAACTAAAAAAAACCGAAATTACCAAGGAGACATTAAAACTTATAAGTCGAGGAAAAACTGACAACGCTATGACAATAAGTTCCTTACACACTACAAACAAAACTAAAGACTGAGCAACACGGACTAAATGTGATTAACTTGGCACTTTTTTCAACACATGCTTAAGATTTAATGTAAACAAAACGATCGATATATGGCAAAAAGAAAAAAAAAGAAAACATTCGAAGGGATAACTGCAACTTTACCACATGAAACCCTTGGTTTATTAGCTTCTCTATAAGCAGCAACCCTCCATAAAGGAAATGCAAGCTCTTGAATATTGTATTACCTGGAAGATGTATATTTCATATACAGGCGCTGCTTGAATGTTGCTACATATAAATAAATAGTTCACAATTGAGAATCTAAAATCTTCCTTTTTGTCGTAACGTTTTGTTATCAACCAACCCTTATTTTCAAATTTTAGATGTAAGTTAAGATATTAAGTAGACTTAACTGAGTCTATCATTTATTTCAGCATAGTCATCAAACTTTGAATTATAAAGGGAAATGATCTTTTCGGTTTTATTAAATCTGAAAAAAGAACCAAACTCATCAAAGATATCAGGCTCATTATTTTATACGACATATGCGCGTTTCATCTACAAAAGACTCATCAGTGACCTCGAATTAAAAAAAGTTTAAAGGCCAAATAAAGTACAAAGCTGAATAAGCATGTGTTGGAAAAGGTTAAATAATATATTTTTGAATGCAGCATCTTAATTATATTCTACTTTGATTAGCAATGACAAAATTATGTTTTCATAGACAGAAACAAGAACTGGAATTCATTAAGATATGGTTTCTTGCCTCTTTCTTCAAAAGCTCTAAACCATTAGTCCGATTTCCAAAATATCATTATCATATCAATTTTTAAAAATAACTTTGATCTTGGCATTGTATGTTATAATATCGTAGTCATGTTTAGTCTATTGAGATAAGAACAACAGACTCACAAAATGACTTCAAATCAATAACAATAACTCTGAGGAAGGATATAATTGCGAGGCAAAACGTGTTTAACTTCAAAACATATCCTCTTACTCAAGACTATCCAAATTTCTTGCCTTCATCCCAGACGAACCTCCTATTGAATGATATCTTGTTTAATTTGTCTCCGTCATGAATGTTCATGAATTGGTTAAACAAAGAAAAATTATCAATTTTTGTTTCAATCAACACAATTATAATATATATATTTCAGTAATGGCACAAGTATCCATAATTAGTAAAAAGTTCATCATGTGTCCAAAACATCAATCGGAGATAGCAAGGTTCTTCTGTGAAGATGATCAAGTGTTGATATGCGATGACTGTATCATAGATAAATCGTGTAATCACAATGGTCATACGAAAATCAAACTGAAAGACTATATCAGCAAGAAAAGGGAAGATTTGAAGCAAAATGCAACAGAGGCTAAATATAAAAACCTTCCTGACATACAGTATGCATTAGAAAAGGCATTAAAAGGCAAAACAGCTTTTAATGCGTCTGTCGATAAACAACTTGAGGGGGTAAAACTTAGACGAGAAATGGTAAAGAAGGTGTTTGACGAATTACAAGACGATCTGATCCAAAATTTTGAATCTGCTAGAAATGCTGCAAACGAAGATTTTGACAAATTTTCTACTAGGCAGCAATTAAGAATAAATTTTATCCAAGAAACTACAAATGTTGTGGAATCTAGAATTTCGAACATGTTGGAAACAGAAGTAGTGTCCTACGATGAAAAATTATCATCAAGTCTGAAAGATGATCCGGACTGGGACGTAGTACTGCAGATTCAACCACCCAGACATCAGTGCCAAGATGAATTGGTACAAAAAGGTAAATTGCAAAGTATCATTGGCTACATGCAATCAGGAACTTATGATGAAGTTGGCGAACCTGTTATTCTTCGGGAGAAGAATGCGAATCAAAGCAGAAACACAGGAACAGAAGAGGAAAACGGAAGTGATTCTTGTCCATTATCAATTATAATAGAAAACAAGAGAGATTTTTTGGCCGTTAAAACTTTTAAACGGACTGCTAAAGTCGCCCATATTGTACCAAAACAGAGTCTACAAGCATGGCTTATTCACAGCGATATCGAAGAACTAGACTGTAGCTCGGGAATGGTAAAAACAAAAATAATAAAATCTATAGAAGAGGAACCACAGTGTGCTGCCCGTAATAATGCAAACGAGCTAATCATTGGAATGTCGAATAAGAAGTCCCTCAGGCAGCTAAAATGTGGAGGACAATTCGGATTCAATATCTTCTCCAGAAATAAGAGTTATACCCTTGGAAATTATGTTAACACCGCACCTCTTCTAGCTGTGTGCTTATGTACCTGTAGATCAGCATCCGTGAATGGCGACATTACAGTATGCCTTGTCGAAAAACCAGCCTCTGACGAATATTCAGTTAAGAATCCGATTATTCGACGATATGCAAATGACAAAACTCAGCCTGTGAGTGACCTTGTTTTGTCGGAAGACAAAATTGAAATTGAAGCGCCAGCTTATATTTCCGAAAACACGAACGGAGATTTGTGTATAGTAAGTTGCCCGGAAGGAAAGAGTTCATGGATTACCATTGCAGACGAAACTGGGACCTTGAAATTTAGATATCCGGCGGTCGATCTGAAGGCTACCAACCGAATTGATTATGAATTCATAGGTGCAGGATTTCTATCTGACGGAACAATAACAGTGTTAGATAGAATAGGTTTTAGACAACACTTACTTGACATAGAGGGCGTGTTACTTCAAAAAGACACACACGAGAGTCTACCTGCTTGCTTGGCTATTGCTCCGAACGATCATGTTTGGATCGGATTTGAAGATGGACAGGTTAAGATATTTACATATAAAGATTTATATTCTGAGATTTAAAGCTAAAACATGAAAAAAATAATTTAGAATCAAACAGAGGAAGAAAAATGTACAAGTTAACAATGTTTGACCATGACTGCAATTTGAAATTTTGGGAAACTTCTAAATCTGTGAAAATATCCATTGTAGTATCCGGAATTGTCAGTCAAATATATCAGTATTCCTTAATAATACAGCGCATTAAGGAAACGAACATATGCTGTACTTTTTTAGCGACACATAACCCTATGCGATATATCATAGAAAAATGTATTATGGTTACATTCCAATGCATCATGTTACATTTGAAATGATTTCGTTAGTGTGGCACATGGTGTAATAAAATTAAATTGTATTTTTCTACGAAGAAGTGGAGTTTTGTTAATTTTTAATCATAATTGATCGTGAAAGATCAAGCAACGCATTCTTAGTACTCTCAGATCTGTACTTAGTGTCCTTTTTGTTGTTAGGGATGAGGGATGAATAAATACCCTGCCACGTCCAGTCTGTGTTTATGTTTGATGTTTTTCTTTTTTGTATCAATCTGATGAGTTAATATAAACAAGAAGATGTGGTATGAGTGCCAATGAGACAATTCTCCATCCAAGTCACAATGTATAAAAAGTTTACAATTATAGGTCAAAGTACGGCCTTCAACACGGAGCCTTGGCTCACACAGAACAGCAAGCTATAAAAGGACCCCAAAATGACCAGTGTAAAACAATTCAATCAGGAAAACCAACGGTCTAATCTATATAAAAAATGAGAAACGAGAAACACCTATGAACCACACCAACAAACGACAACCACTGAACAACAGGCTCCTGACTTAGGACAGGTGCATAAAAATGCAGCGGATTTAAACGTTTTAACAGACGCCAACCTTCACCCTAACCTTAGAGAGTAGTGTAACATTACAACATAAAAAGACACACTATAAAATATCAATTGAAACGGATTAACTCGATCAAAAAGACATCTAATCAAAAACAAGTAAATATACACTGAACGAATAAGTTTGATCTATGACACAATATAAATACAATATTAAAACGTAGGTGCCTATATAACATTGACGTTACAGATTGCAATAAAAAAGATGCAGGAAGAGTGTCAACTTTTACCTGGGACAAAATGGCGTTAAATAAAACTAAAATATATTTAAATATAATCATTTGGTTATTAGAAGTACGGAAGTAAACATTTTTTACAAAATTAATAAATTTGTTGTTCAGAGTACGAGTACAGACGTGAAAATTTATCGTCATAATAAATACTTATCAAAGGTGGTACATAGCCTTTTTTAACTGCTTTCTATAGGTTGTTCTTGTGTTGTGCTGTTAAACCACTGTCCCAGGTTAGGGGGAGAGGTGAGCACTCACAAACATGTTTAACCCCGCCACATTCTTTATGTGCCTGTCCCAAGTCTGAAACCTGTAGTTCAGTGGTTTTCGTTGGTTCATGTCTGTCATATTTGTTTTTCGTTAATTGGTTTATTATAAATTAGGACGTTAGTTTTCTCAATTGAATTGTTTCATAATTTTCATGTCGGGGCTTTTTATAGCCGACTATACGGTATGGGTTTTTCTCAATGTTGAAGGCCGTACAGTTGCCTATAATGGTTTACATCCACTTTATTTTAACTTTGGTGGATAGTTGTCTCATTGGCAATCATGCCTCATCTTATTTTTATATTATAGTATATGATATAGCAGTACTGACATGGTCATACACAGAGGAAAAAACAGCATGTATACCTCCGTATATAGAATATATTTTTCCTACCATTGTTCGCAATATTGAGACCTGTTACACTTATAAGTCAACCCCAAAAAAAACTTCCAAGATAATAAAGCAATCAGGAGCATACAAAGCCAAAAATGTGTCTTTATATCTAAGGCATAAGACATTTGAAAATGTGTTAAGCGGAAAAATGTTTCCCCTGGAATTATTTCTGGTTCATTGATTGAGTGTGTATTCGCATGACAGGTGATGCATGCATAGCACGAGACACCTACCCTGTCGTGGCACTCGGTCTCTCTTCATTTGAAGTTCATGCGATTCCCTCTGCATTTGTTTGTTACCTTTGTTTCTTCTAAATCGATTTGAAAGATTTGAAAATCGGTTAACAACTGTCGCCTTAATGTTTCAAATATTACGTTTTTGGGCGTTCCTGATGAAAGAAAATCTAGAAGAGCTCGTCGAACGCACGAAATCTATATAAGGTTTTTTGCATGAAGGCCGTACTTTGACCTATAATTGTTAACTTTTTATACATTGTGTGACTTGGATGGAGAGTTGTCTTTTTGGCACTCATACCACATCTTCTTATTTATATCAATTAGGTGGTGTAGTGGCTTCCAATGGCGATACCAATGCGATTCCGTTTGTTTGGTTTTTTTTCTTGGTTTGTATCTTCATATTAGACTGACTTAAAAACTGATAGACTGTTCGTTTTTGAATAGAATGTAGGATAATGAGCAAAACACTATTGGCTATGGGTCAGATTAGTAATGTGGGTATAGTACTAGTAATATGTTTTCTGTTAATTATTTATACCTTTTTACATCGAACGTAGTTGTCTAGTTCAATTAAGTAAGGACTCCAATCTAATTGAATTTTTCAATGTTTCAACTGCCGCTATAAATATATTGTGTGGGCATGAGGCGTTTAATTCCGAAATGTAATAGCGGAATCTGTCATTTAAAACATGAAGTGAAAGGTTTATCATGCTCTTGTTGTAAAAATACTTTTGTGTCCTTTAGATAAATTTCGAAACACCTAGTTTTGCGTACCAAATACTTTGTTGTTTTAATCAAAATCCTTACCTTTATCTTATTTGTCACTGGTTATCGATAACAGTGATTTGACTCAATAACAGTATGTCAGTTGCCAATAAATTGGAATGTGCATAATCATTGAATCCTTCTAAGGTGTTGATTGGTGGTCAATTGAAATGAAGGAAATGTCCACTATAAGTGAACGAGGCAGTATCCAAACAACACAAATAACAAACATAACTCTACTCATATTTCCAAAAACCAGAAAACGCATATGCTCCTTTGTTAAAACTATGAATTATATTTGCTTTAAATCCAGTTGTCCAATTCCTTTTAAGTTACAATGGAACAGATAAAAACACGTTAGCTGAATATTTCATCAGTTTTTGTATTAAACGCACAATGCAAACACAAAGTCTTCGAAATGACACTTGTTAACCAAACTTTTCTTCCCTTTGGTGATTTTTTTTCTTATTTCAAAAGTAACTTGATTGTTCTCCATGAGTAATCTCAGTTGAATAACCTAAAAACGTATAACAAAAATGAATAATAAATAATTAGTTTTTTATAAAATGTTATGAGGAAAATGTGTAAGAACAGTTCTTTTTTATCTTGATTTCCACTGTCCTCATGCGTTGAATTAGGTTTTGAATCAACAGGTTGTAACATATTTCCATGTACGGTCACTCGAGTTTGACTATGATCCTGTCGGAAAACAAAGTCTGATTTTGAAACGATAATAAACGGTCGTTTACCGCAGGTGTTTTCCAATTTAATTTTGAATTAACATTCTTCAGTAAAACTGAATGCCTATGTTTTATGCATCAGTCTGGCTGTTAAAAAGACATTAAGAAAACAAACATGACACAACAAGAAAAAGACAAAGCTCAGAATTGAGATAAGTATGATGTAATGGTAAAGAACATACCTGTATGAATTTTGAATTTATGATACTGTCTAACGCTGCTGCTTTTAAATTCATTTTGTTGTCTATTATGCAATGAAGCAAAATTATAATACTGGTATGCAAATATGTAAAATTTTTAGACACATTCAAACAAACCATAAGAAACAATTTTTGAATTAAAAAAAAATCCAATTTTCTGTATTGAATTTAAAAAAAGATACTACAGTAACTACTATTAATTGCCGGTAAGAGTTTAAATTTTTCCTCTATTTTGCTTTGATGTCGCGTAATTACGCAAACCATAATCTGTCTCTATCATCAATACAGAATTTCAAGAATTTTTAAATATTTCGGATCCTTGGTTGCTTGCTTTAAAGGATGTTTTTGAAAAGTTCTAAATTTCTACTTTAAATTAGTTGAGCAGCATAATAGATTCCAACTTTCTTTCTTTGTTATTTTATTTTATATTTTAGCACATGTAATTGACATTAATCGAAAAGTTATGTAACTACTTGTGATGAAGTAATCAATTGTAATCGATTACAAACAAAAATCAGAATAATCGATTATTTATTGATTGCACATAAATCCTCCAAGTAATCAGTTATTATTCGATCGACATAACGACTTTTGAAACCAAGTCTGTGATGCATTGACAACGGCTGTCGTATTTTATCATCCTAATGTAAATAGCTGAAATAATCTCAGTCTAAAGAAAGTAGTTTTGACTTTATTTAACTGTATTTATCACAAAGGAGTAGGGGCATTAAGGCCAGGTTTTAGCCTAAGAAAATAAAGATTTTGATAACTATTTCAAATTGCAGATAATGTTTAAAAAAATGCTTAAAATCAAAGAATATAAATGATTTACATAAGTTTTTAGATTTTATGACGTCACAATAACGTCAAAATATGCACCATTTTCATAAAAACAAAGAAAACTGCTAACTTTATGCAATTTTCCGTCAATATTTTCTTTGAGGAAACATCGTGCGCAGACAAGAAACAACAAAATAATTTAAGAGAAGCTTTGTTATAACCATTGACATATTCTAAACAAATATAAAGTTGTTTCTTGTGTGCGCACATACTTTCCCAATCTAATATATACTTAAAAAATGACGTAAAACAATGAAAATCAAGAAATTTTACAAAATATGAACGCTTTGCCATAGTTTGTTGCCCTGGTAACTCGTTAAGTGTAAAATTTGTTTTTATTTTCTAAACACCTTGTACCAAAGTGTAGTTTGGAAAAAGGTAAGAATAGTTATGGCAACTTTTCAATTTGCACTAATATTTGTGCCCAATAAGGGTCTTATTGCCCTACTCCTTGCACTTATATTGATCTCTATGAAGATGAAATGTAATGTAAAATGTAGAAAATCCTTAGTATTTCGAAAAATCCAGTTTTGTTAACAGTTAATTTATAATTATGACCATATCACTGATAATTCATGTCAACACAGAAGTTCCTATGCAAATATTGCTTATGTAGTACTAAATAATAACTTCTTTTTATAGCATTAATGTAGATAACGAGTTTGACACTTCATTGAATTTATTAAGTGCCTTACTCTAGTGTCTACGCTAGCTTATATCCCAAATAAAGTGTTTTGTTTTTATTATAAATATTTTAGTTGATTAAGACGAACAAGAATATGAATTAAATATAAGTTATGTTTA